AGAAAGAAAGAAAGAAAGAAAGAAAGAAAGAAAGAAAGAAAGAAAGAAAGAAAAGAAAGAAACAACAACAGCACACGAACCTAAACTGAAAGCTATAATTTGTACACAGAGGACCTGATGCAGTGCAGACTGGTGTAGGCCCTGGCAAGACATATCTTCTAAAAAGTAGGTAGACAAACCAGGTGGTGGGAGTGCATGCCTTTAATCCCAGCACTGGGGAAACAGACAGGCAGATCTCTTGAGTTTAAGGCCAGCCTGACCTAAAGAGTGTATATTGTGAGACCTTGTCCTGAGAATATAGAAACAATAAACAAAATGGACTAGGGATATAGCTGGATAAGGCCCTGGGTTTCATCCCTACTGTTGTGGGGGAAAAACAAATAAAAATTCAGGCTCATCCAGTAGTAACAATAAAACGAGATTTCTCTGGTGTCCAAACCCTTTATTTTAAGGATGAACCGGGAGAATAGCAAGAGGTTAGTGTGTTATTCTCATAGAACAGTGAGTCTGAATAAGGAATGTCAGACCCATTTTACTTCTCCAAAACATTTATATATATATATATATATATATATATATCTACTACCAACTCAGAGGTTACTCTCAGTCTATTTGGTAGGAAAGTTATGAGAGATGAAGACTTCCAGGAGTTCAGACAGTGAAAAATACGAAGTTATCTGAAGGTATTCTGTTTCTACATTTCATATGGGAACATGAGTTCAGGTGATAAGGGATGATGTCTGACTACAAAATACATTCAGGGGCAAGGGTTATCGTTCAGAAGTAGATACCTGGGGCTGTGTTTCATCACTAGCAGACACTGATTCCTTCTTTCAACTACAGTTGTAACAATGTATCTGAAATGCTGAAATGTATTTGGTTTCTGCAGGTTTCTTTCTTTCTTTCTTTCTTTCTTTTATTTTTATTTTTTAAGGCAGTTTCATTATGTAGTCCAGCCTGGCTTGGAACTCCAAATTCTCCTGTCTTATCCTTCCTGGTGCTGGGATTACAGGCATGCATCACACCTATCCCAGTTTGTGCATTTTTAATGATGAGTTAGACAATGGGGGTGGGGGTGGGTGGATGACACACCTGTTTCAAATATGTCTGCTTTTGGCAAGGAGGGAGAATTTAGAGGCTGAGATAGCACCTTTTTCTGTCTCAGGTGTACGTGAATATGCTTGGTTCTTTGTAGAAAAAAAATTTTTTTTTGAAAAATTTTATATACATTTTTTAAAGTTTATTTCATACGTGCTAGTCAGGGATGCTTGTGTGTGTGTACAGTCTTCAGGAGTCAGCTGGCTTCTTGCACTATATTGAATCCTACAGATTGAATTCAGTCCTCAAGTTTGGTTGTAAGCACCTCTATAACCATCCTGCTGGCTCTTGTTTATTTTTGTGTATATGTGCCCTTGTATGTGAGGGCTTATGTATGGAGGTCAAAGGAAGATTTCAGGTGTTGGTCCTCATTTGATTTAGGGTCCTCACTTGCTTAGGTGTTGTGTGTTACAGGCTCACTGGCCCACTTCAGGGGAATTCTGTCTTTGCCTGCTGTCTTGCCATAGGAGTATTGGGATTACAAATGAGACATTGTATCTGGCTTTTACTTGACTTCTGGGGATCCAAACTTACATTGTCAGGCTTGCTTTGCAAGTGTTTTCCCCTGCTAAGACATCTCCTTGGCTCCACGAATACTTTCTGTTCTTGGTTTTCGGTACTGAGAATTCAGATAAGGTTACGTGAGAAGAGAAAACAACAACATGTGTTTCAGATATATTGGCTGAGGCTAAATGATCCAGCTCTGTCGCAAAAAAAAAAAAAAAAAAAAAAAAAAAAAAAAAAAAAGCATCCAAACATATCCGTTTGATTCAGTGGGTAGAAATGCTCGTATAACAGCAACGCACTTTATGTACTGATACCCAGCCAGTTGCTCTGTCCTAGCAAGCTGTAAGTCAGTTGCTTGTGACAACTCTGTGAGCATCTGTTACAGTTTCATAATTTTGCTTTGAGACAGAGTTTCACGATGAAGCTGGCCTGGAACAT